AAAATATATTCTATTTTTAAAAATCTATTTTAAAAATAAATATATCAAAATTTTGGCTCCACAGGCAAGGGGACCAACGTAGACAGGCCTAGGCTTATGGTGGGGATTCTCAGTGGTTACCATCTTGAAATTTTTAAGAATTTAAGCTCTGCATCTGTGGCCCAGAGCCTAAAAAGCATGAAGCAACTACCAGGGGCTTGAGGTCTCAGCATACATGGTCCCCCCTCCAATCTCTCCAGGACCCATTCTGAGGCTGCTTTCTGCCTCCCCTCAAAGTCCCACCTCCTTCAGCCACCACTCCTCTATTCTGTCTTTTACTTGGGACAATAAACAAGTTGTCAGGGGATCCAGATTCCACATTGCCTCACATGGGAGCCTGGCACAGATGTTGTGGGGAGCAGGCACTGGAAAGGAACACAAGCCATGACACCTAGGGTGGGCCATGGTGGCAGCCATCACTGACCTGCATTGGCAGTGCAAGATGTGTTTGCAGGACAACCCAACAGAGGCCTCAGGCCCATCCTAGACCCAGGCACCAAACATATCCTGGAGAGAAGTCACCAGCAGTTATCTGGGAATGTGAGGCGGAACAGCCCTCCAGGTCCAACATGTTCATTGTGCATGTATCCTACTACACATTATGCAGCCAGCCTTAGTTTAACTGAGCAAGTATAAATTTTCTTAAAACTCCATAAGACCCTATATTGCAGCAGGTTTAGATTTACCTTAAGGCTCACTTCTAAGCCAAGCTGTTGACAGGAACCACAGAGCCTCCTATTTGAGGTCCTAACTCTTGCTAAGAAAGGGGGAGTCACACGCACTGTGGAAATCAGATGTGAAGTCAGAGTGACATCACACCATGTGCCCCAGAAAGCAGAGCAGGCAGTCTAAGGACCATGGACAATACCCCGTTTCCAGCTGCTAACAACCTTCCCATGAGTTCCCCCTGGTGCAAGTCAAGTCAGTGAGCTCTACCCTGCAAAATGTTTAATAAATACAAGGTCAGAGCAAGTGCAGCGTCTTCTTGTACAGTTCACTCCTGTCTTCGCAAGGAAAAAGAAATAAAATATATTCCATTTTTTAAAATCTATTTTAAAAATAAATATATCATAACGTTAACAATGGATATTTTGAGGTCATGCTTATAAGTGAGTCTTATTTTCATGTTCTGTGTCTAATTATTATAATAAAATTTTATGCTGCTTAAATTTTTAAAAGTTTCATAAGACACAGGCACAACTACAAATTAATAAAAATAAAAATGTTCCCCCAAAAGAATTAGTCCCAGGGCTGAGGATGCAACTCAGCGGTAGAGTACTTGCCTAGCAGCACAAAGCCCTTGGTTCAATCCCCAGCACCACAAAAGAAAGAATTACTCCTATTCAATTCAATAGTTAAAAATTTCACTAACTGAATAGCTTCAAATTGAAATTCCTCAGTTTCCCCTGAAGTGCATCCATGTCTCTGTCAGTGATAGTCTCGAACAAATTTGGGTGCTCAATTTGCTCCTCAGGCTCACCAAGGAAACCTTCACGAGCACACTCAGTGCCACTAAAAGTGCCTCTACCCTAAGGGATAGAGGATGAAACCTGTAGTTGTTACTGACATTTAATCTGTGAAGACAAAATGAAGGCTGATGCCTTAGCTCAGAGGCAGAGCTCTTGAATTCCTGAGCCAGTTCCTGATCAGATCCCCAGCACCACAAAAAGCTCGAGGGGCCAGGCATGGTGGTACAAGCCAGTAATTCCAGCAGCTCGGGAGGTTGAGATAGCAGGATCGCAGGTTCAAAGCCAGCCTCAGCAAAAAGTGAGACCCTGTCTCTAAATAAAATACAAAATTGGGCTGGGGATGTGGCTCAGTGGTGGAGTGCTTCTGACTGCAATCCCCAATCTCAAAAAAAAAAAAAGCTGGAGGGTGCAAAGAAAACAATCGCCTAATAGAATTCCAGTTTTAAAAGCTGAATTCACATTAAGTGAAGACTAAGGTGACATAACAATGAAATTCAACATCTGACTGGATCTAGTACTTAAGGGGAAAATAACACTGGACGACGATAGATTAGACAAAAATACCCTCTCGGTGCTGCATTCACACAAGCTGATAAGCACCCTGCAGTAATAGAGAAAACTATCCATATTCTCAGATTTATACACAGTGGGCTGGGATGTGGCTCAAAGGTAGAGCACCTGCCTAACATGCACAAGACCCTGGTTTAATCTCGGCACCGCAGAAGAAAATTTACACTATATAGGTAAAAAGAGCCTTGAGGTATACAACTTACTCTGCAATGGCTCAAGAGAAAATATACACACAGAGAGAGCACCTGGCAAGAAGTCACCTCCAAGAGGGAAAACGTGTTCACACGTGAATTTATGCAAAGGTAACAGGAGTGTTCTTTCTGCCATTTTAATTCTTATCTTTTCTGTAACTTTTAATTATTGTTTCCAAACAGAACATTCTTAAAGCTGGATTCGCTCATTGTGGTCTGGTGGGGCTTCTAAATTCACGTTCCTGAATGCCTCCTCTAGTCCTTCCCAGTGGAGAACTCTAACTAGGCTCTACAAAAACAAACTTCACTGCTTTTTGTGCAGTGCTGGTGACTGAACCCAGGGCCTCCTGCATGCTATACAGCACTCTGCTAGTGAGCTACATCCCACCTTAAGCAACACTCACTCCCAACTCCTCCACAAAGGCCACAATAGGCTCCCACTGGACACTATGCTTCTGCCTCCTCTGCACAATGACTGTCCCAAGACTGTCTCAGCTTCTGCGGGACTGTCACTGCCTGACAGGAGCAAGCATTCTGGCTTCAATTCTCCACATCCCTTCCCTGGGATTATGAGGGACACTGAGGCCCAAGGAGTAACTCATTTGTTCCAGGTCACACCATTAGTTAAGAATCAGGATTAAAATAAAAGGCTTTAGCCAGGTTTGATGGCACAGGCCTCCATCTCAGTTAACTCCAAAGACTAAGGCAGGAAGATCACAATTTCAAGGTCAGCCTGGGCAACTTACTTAGCAAGACCCTGTCTCAAAATAAAAACTAAAAAGGGCTCGGGATGTGGCTCAGTGGTACAACATCTTTGGGTTCAATCCTCAGGACACACACACACAAAAAAAGTTTCTGGTTAATTCCCTAGTGATCAAAAGAAAACATGTAGGGCTGGGGCTGTGGCTCAGTGGTAGAGCGCTTGCCTAGCATGTGTAAGGCACTGGGTTCAATTCTCAGTATCGCATATAAATAAATGAATAAAATAAAGGTCCATAAACAACTAAAAATATATATAAAAATAATTAAAAAAAAAAAAAAAAAACATGCAGTGTTTGTGAAATGACACTCCCACCCTGCAGGGTGCCTTCTGGAGCACCCTCCCTAAACCAGAACCAGTGCTGGGAGTGCCTAGTGTACCACCACTTGAAGCCTGCATGGCCTACACACACTGCATCCCTAGGTGTTCATGTCTCGTTCTCTACAAGCATCACCCAGCCCCACTCCTTATCTGCCCTTGGAGGGCTCATATCTACCCTCAACCCACCAAGCAAATAGAGCTTATCAATCCTATCTGCAAATAATCACCTGCTTTCCTTCCTTGGGCATAAAGTATGGCTTAGGCAGAGCTGCAGAAACCTCCAGAAGGCTTCCATCTTAGGACTGTCCTGAACTAAAGGTTCTGCCTGAGCAAGTCCTCTTCCAGCACCCCTCCCATTCTCACATTTTCACATGAGAATCTCATACTCTTTAAAATGTTTCTCACAGGATGCGGTGGCACACAGCTGTAATGCCAACTGCTGGAAGGCTGAGGCAGGAGGGTTCCAAGTTTGAGGCCAGCCTCCACAACTTAGCAGGACTCTGTCTCACAACAAAAAGGGCTGGGGATGTACCTCAGCAGTAGAGTATGCATCCCCAGTACCACACAAAAAATAAATAAATAAAATAAAAATGTTTCTGTATATGGGTTTTAATTTTATTCCTTCATTCCAGAAATATCTGTGAAGCATCCATGTGTCAGACTCCACTCTGATCACAGGCAGAAAAATAGGTAACACCACAGTGAGGTCCTTGCCTCCTCGAGTTCAAGTGGAAGACAGAGTGCCAACAAATAACACCAAGTAGTTGAAGTGCTCTGAAGAAAACAGAGGAGGAGGAGAGAGAAGAGAGCATGGGGAGAAGGCAGTGTGTGAGGACCAGCATCTCTCAGAGAAGAGCATGTCTGAGCAGAGACTTCTCTGCGGCCCTTCAGAAATCAACAGTATGTATCTACCTGAGAGCCAAATTAACTCCTGACTACTGTCAGGAACCCTGGTAAGTATTGGCTTTTCACTCTCAGACTGCCTTTTAATAAGTAAAAATCTGGCTGAAAGTCGCGAATTTCAAGATTAAGAAACTGAGCTCTTTCCAGGCCGTCATGCTCTGAACCAAATTCTTTACGAGTTTTAGAAATTCAAAACAGCCATTGTTCCTATTTCTACAGCAATGAACAACACATGTAAAAAACTATCAATGACTGTAAGGGTAGGTATGTGGCCTTACTTAATATTTTTAAACCATATATGCCCACCATCTAGTTTCAATATTATAAGGAAAAATTCAAAGAAATCAAATTTATCAATAAAGCCTGAATTTTGGAACTTTGTAAGACTGCACATACTAAGTTCATGAATCAGGACAAAAAAAAAAGGAAAGAAGCTACCACACCACATGTGCATTGCATGCCCACTAAAGCTGAGAAAGTGTTTGCAACTTCTTTTACTAAAACAATGTGACTCGACACAGGGCCCTCAAGCATGAAAAACAAGTTGTTGTTTTTTTTTTTTATCACTAATAAGTATAAAAATCACCTCCTAAAAGTAGCTCAAAACTTGAACAGCTTAAACTGCTCACTTAGAAAGACACGTCACAGCCACTTGGAGGGGGCACACCCACTCTCCCACCAGCTCCCGACCTCCCTGCCAGCCAACCCAGCACCACATCTTTCAGCCTGCTGCTGACACCCTCTTACCTTCAGCAACTCCCTGCAGCTGTCAAGCCCGACATCCACAAGAATTCCTTTCACCCTTTTCCGCACCTTTCTGATGTTGTCAAGATTTTCCACAGGAATTTGAAACATTTTTGAAATTTTCCTTAAAAGGAAAGAAAACAAAACTGTAAGAAGATAAATACACAAAAATACGGTTTTTAACAGGGTTGGGTTAAGCACTAGGAATAAAGTATAATTTCAACAAACAGAGCTGGGAAAAACTGGAAAGTGACATGCAGAAGGAGGAGGCTCCCTTCCCCATACCACCCGCAGTGCCAAGTGGGTCACACAGCCACAGGGACAAGCGCAGCCACAAACTGCAAGAAAATGGAGGCACTGCAAGGCAAGAAGAGGATGGCTAGTTCCAGGCCAGCCTGAGTACCTCAGCAAGACACTGCCTCAAAGTAAAATTAAAAAGTGGGGGTCAGGGATGTACAAAGGCCCTGAGTTCAATCCCCAGCATCACAAAAAGAAAGATGACAGAGGCATAAATCTTCATGGCTTTGGATGTGCAATAGATTCTTATGACACAAAATAGTACTAGAAACAAAGGAAAAAAAATAGATTAAACAGATTTTATCAAAATTAAAAACTTTGGGTGTGGGGATGTGGCTCAAGAGGTAGCGTGCTCGCCTGGCATGCGTGCGGCCCGGGTTCCATCCTCAGCACCACATACAGACGAAAGATGTTGTGTTCACCGATAACTAAAAAAAAATAAATATTAAAAAATTCTCTCTCTCTCTCTCTTTAAAAAAAAATTAAGAACTTTAATGCTTTCTATGTCACCATCAAAACAGCAAAAATCACACAAAATGGAAAAAAAATTCAAATCTTTTTTCTGATAAGGAACTTATATCCAGAAAAGAACTCTTATAACTCAATAACTGAAAGACCAATAATCCAATTTTCAAATGGGCAAAGGATCTGAACACTTTTCTACAGCAGATAAAAACAGGACATAAAGGGCTGGGGTTATGACTTACTGGTAGAGTGCTTGCCTAGCACATGTGAGGCACTGAGTTCGATCCTCAGTACCACATAAAAATAAATAAAGGTATTGTGTCTATCTACAACTAAAAAATTTATTAAAAAAATAGGACATAAAAAGATGTTCAGTATCTTTAGTCACTAGAGAATTGAAATCAGAACTACAACAAAATACTTCACATCCACCAAATGCCAACAATTAAAAAAATAAAAACAAACTCAACACAGTGCCCTCAAGCATCAAAACCAAAAATACTGATTAGTATCAGTCTGGCACACAAGCCCAAGTCAGATGTATTGGCAAGGATATGGAGAAACTGGAATTCTTGCTAAGGGTAAGGTAAAAAATGGTAGCCAGTTTGGAAAACAGCCAGGCAGTGCCCCTGAAGATCCACAGTACCGGCGCCAGTTGAACTAAAAAGCCCACCCAGGAGAAAGAAACAGCACATATCCACCCAAAAATCTGGACCAGGATGTTCAGGACAGGTTGCTCACAGCAGCCCAAAAGCATAACAACTCAGAGGTCCAACAAGTGCCACTGAATAAATAATGGATGAGTCCATATTTAGGGCCATCAGAAGAAACAAGGCACCTGCTACACGTTCCCACATGGACAAATCCTAAAAGCACTCTGAGGAGCAAGGGTGAGTCCATGTGTGAAGCGTACAGAAGACCTATCTACATACAGAGAGCACAACCATGTTGGCCTGGGGAGGGAGAACTGGGAGGTGATGGCTGAGAAAGGGGTTTCTTTTTGGAACCACAATGTTCAAAAATCAATGTAGCCAACACATGCACAACAGCCACTAACTCTGAATATGCCAAGAGCCACTGAGCTGCACATTTTAAATGAGTGAACTACATGGCATATTATCTCATTAAAACTATCATTTAAACATCCAAACAAGCATAAAACCAATATAAACCATGTGGAAACTGACCATAGTAGAAGCTATGATATGATCTGTCTTCAACAGGCAGAAAGATGTGTATATGTAAATATACACATTCCATGCTCTGTCCAGTAGAGATCCCAGTCACACATCCCAGCAGGAGTGGGCACACCCATCTCAACTTCTAAACACCACTTTCATTAAAAAGAACCAGAGTTCCTTGGTAAAATGGCCAATTCCAGGGCTGAGCTACAGTAAAGGCTAAGATGAGCCAAAAACATCTTATGCCAGAAAATAAGGCAATTCTCAGAGAAGGATGATGCAAAAGGAACCCAGCTCTGATGCCCACAGCACTAATGCCATGACAACCTCAGCACCCACCAATTAAGGGAACTAACAAAGAAGCACACAACAGTTCTTCCCATCACATGAGCTTCTTAACACAGGACCTGGAAGCTCCTCCCCTGAGCGCAGCATCTATACCAGCCCTCTTGACTCAATAAAGTATGGAGGGAGCAATGCCAGCAAAGACTCCAGGCTACATGGTAAAAACGCCACACAAGCCAGACACCACGGTGCACACTTATAATCCCAGCTCCCTGGGAGGCTGAGGCAGGAGGATCACAACTGGAGGCCAGTCAGGACAACTAAGAAAGCTCATCTCAAGTGTAAAACAAGGACTGAGGACACAGCTCAGTGGTAGAGCTCTCACCTTGCACGTGACACTCTGGATTATATACCCAGAACTGTCTAAAAAAAAGAAAAAAAGTACATTTCTCTCAGGGAGACAACACTTGAAATCCAGACACCAGGCTTGTAAAGATGCAACAGCCCATGGGAGTGAGGGGAGGAGACCTCAGACACCACCACGGGCCACTGCCAAGCTACTGCTGCCCCCCAGTCTCTCCACACTGAAGAAAGGCAAGTGGTATGAATTCTGACTCACAGAACTGGCGAGCCATTTTAATAGTACTTTTTTTACTCTAGTTTTGAAGAGGTTTGTAAACAGCAATAGTAAGTGGAATAGAGGCTACAAACTGAAGCTCAAGTCCACACTGACATAAGTAACTTGAAAGCGTGATGAAGGCCAGGATGCAGTCCTCCCACAAAATACTGATCGGTACCAGTCTGGCACACAAGCCCAGATCAGAGATACTGCACAAGACAATTAGCTACAACACCCAGAATGCCAGGACCACCCAAGACGAACAAGACAACCAGCCACAATACCCAGAACCCCAAGACCACCCAAGGCATGCAAGTCAACCAACCACAATACAACACTAAGACCACTCAAGGTGAAAAAATCAGCCATAATACCCACAATGCCAAAACCACCCAAAATGTAAACAACAGCCACAATACCCAATTAATGCCAAGACCAACTAAGGCATGCCGGTCAACCAGCTATAATACCCAGATTGCCAAGATTACTCAAGGCAAGCAAGTCAACCAGCCACAATACCCACAACACCACGACCACCCAAGGTGTAAAACCACTACAATACCCTGGTCATCAAGACTACCAAAGGTAGGCAAGTCAATCAGCTTCAAAACCCAGACTCCCAGACCACCCAACGCATACAAGTCAATCAGCCACTTTACCCACAACGCCAAGATCACCTGCCAAGATCACCTACGGTACACAAACCAACCAACCACAATACCCTTAATGCCAAGATCACATGAAGCAGCACAGTTCATTGTAGCAGAAAACCAGTGTGCCCATCAAATGGTGAACAAATAAAAAATGGAATACTACTCGGCAATATAAAGTAACAAGGTACTAGCATATGCTACAACATCAATCCAAAATCATCATGCTAAGCAAGAGACAATATGCAAGAGCCCCCGTATCATCTTGATCTATTTATATGAAATGTCCAGAAAAATTTAGAGATGAAGGGCATAACAGTAGTTGGAGGATAGAAATAGGTAAGTAGATGGACAGGGTTGATGGGGAGATGCTAGAAATGTCCTAATATTAGATTGTGGTGGCTACACAATTCTATAAATTTACTAAAAATCTACCAATTACACATTCTAGTAAACATATCATGGAAGGAAAAACTGGAACTATTCCAGATTGAAGGAGACTTACGATAACTAAACACAACAAGCAATTCTAAACTAGATCCTTTCCTACAAATGATGTAATTAGAAAGCTGCAAAATTTTCAAGGCACCTGAGATTAGGCGCCATGTGCTGCTTTCCTGATTTTGATGGTCTTGTCATGGCTATGTAGGAGAATGTTCTTCTTTGTAGCAAAGAGGCAGTATCGGGGGTAATGTGCCACCTCAGCTAGCAACTTACTCGCAAAGGATTCAAGGAGAAAAGTTCTTTGTAATGTTTCCATAAATCCACAACTATTTCAAAAAAATGTGTAAATTCATTCTAAAAGCTAAAAAGAAATTTGCTAGTCAAGTTCAAGTGGCAAACACTTTCGTTACTCAACTTCATTAGTTGAAGAAATGCCATGTTAAATAAAAAAAATGTTATTTTTTCTTTTTAGTTGCAGATGGACATATTACCTTTATTTTTTTGTTTTTATGTGGTGCTGAGGATAGAACCCAGTGCCTCACATGTGCTAGGCAAGCACTCTACCACTGAGCTACAATCCCAGCCCCACAAGTGCTAAATTTTTATTGTCAAAATAACATTTAAGATCAATAACAGGCAATAGTGAGAACAAGCTAGGGAAAAAAAAAAAAAAATCACAATTTCTACACTTTCCATAAATTTAAAGGGCAACTTCTAGGCAAGTAATCTCCCTCCCACATCCCTCTTGCAGTCCCCCCACTACCAGGCTGTGAGCCCCAATGTTGGATCCCCAGCACAACCCCCTCCCCACTCCCTTTCTGCTGCAACTACCCATTTAGTTCTGCCCTCTACTGGACTGAACCCCCTCAGGGCAGGGCACAGCACATACTCATTAAACAGACAAATAAAACCAGGTGGGGGGACTGCACCATTGAGGTACAGGAGGGAAGGCTGTGGGTAGCTGGGGCCCAACACACTGCAGGCCAAGAGATCACCTCAGAAACTGAGATAAAGGAGGGAACACTGAATATAGGTAGTATACTTTGCTTAAGTAAATTCAAATGAGACAAATTAAACTGGGGAGAGGAAGACTGAGGATTATTGTCAGAGGGAGGAACTTTGGGCAGTACAATGTTTCAGACAAGTAGAGCTTTAATTGAAGAACTGGGGGATATAACTCACAGAAATGAAGATAAATTTTTTAAATGAAATGTATGGAATTGTTTGCCTTCCAAAGGTCACACTCCAGCAGAAGAGCTGTCAGGAACCTCATGATGTATTTCAAAAATCCATGCACAAGATCCCTATCGAGCCAACTAGCTACTGTGGCCAAAGCAAGATGCAACACAAATTTGGCCACTCTATCAGATGTGCCTGGCTCTATCAAACTTGCCTGACCTTCTCCTTCAAGCACCTCTAACCTGTATCCTCTGGGGTTCTTTCTCCAAACCTACAGGGAGGATCCTCATTCACCCATCTCAAACAAGGAAATTACTGGACTGCTGCCAAGACAACCACCTTCATTACAAGGTCTGAAAGCCAAGGCCACCAGGAAGGTACACTCCCAGAAGCAAGTGTCCAGTTCTCACACGAGGGGCTACTGAAATGAGGTGTCAGACCTGGCATGTCTCAAACAGGTTCTGTAGTGA